GAGGGAGGGAGGGAGGGAGGGAGGGAGGGAGGGAGACAGAGGCAGGTAGGCAATCAGACAGACAGACAGACAGACAGACAGACAGACAGAGAGAGAAAAGTTGTTTCCTCCATACTTGAGAGAAAACCCTAAGCAGAATACTTTTAACGTTTTGTGCAATAAAGATAAATACTTCAAACAAGCCTATGTAAAAACATTATTCGTTGAGGGGGTGTCTTTTGCATTAATACTATGCACACAACTGTTCCATATGATGGGTGTCAATAGCATAAGTAATTTCCATAATATTGGGTTTCTGAAACCAGACACTGTTGTGTTCTGTTTATAGTACTAATGACTTATTCACATTTTTATGACTAATGGGCCGCTAGCATATGGAGAAATTAGAAAAGACTTTTGGGTGTGTTGTTTTATTTTTTGCTTAATTAATTCAATCTCCTAATAATTTTTTACCTTCCAAAGGAAGGCAGCTAGTGTAGAGTGAAGAGCTATGAACTCCCATGGGAGTCTGCATTCTGAGTTGCTGCCTTGTGGAATTTATTAGACTCCCTTCATTTCATCTCCTGTGGACTCTAATCTTCTTGAGTCTCTTGCTGGGTGTTTGTCGTTTCTCTGTCATTTTTCTGTGTTTAGCTCTTGCCACAGCACAGGATGCACGGCTTATCAGTAAATATGATTGGACGAATAAATCAGTGACTTCCTTAGTCAGATATCTGTCTTACCAATTCTGGTGAAATTTAACCTCTTTTTTTTTTTAGAAAAATAATCAAAAACTCCCTGTATACTGCAAGCATGCCCTGAAAGCATTATACATATATACACAATGGAGATAACAAATACGATGCTCACAGAATACTGTGTTATTACTATAGTAACTATTGACCAGCTGTGTGATTGCTATATCACGTGGTAGTTAAGTTCCTAGTGATTTATAAATGGCTGTATCAACATACAGTCTTATGTATCAGCATACAGTGTATTATCTTCCCCTAATCCATGGACATGAACAGACTCTTCACCCACCCATAAGAATTTCCTCTCAGAAGATACTATTGCCTAAGCAACTATTTGTGTCATATATTTACAAAAACTTAATTTTTTCGTCTAAATATTTGAAAAATATAAAATTTGGGCAATGTTTGCATCCTATCTGAATAACATCTGTACATGAAATTTACAAAATCAACATTTTTAGGAATTTTTAAATGATTAAATATATTGTATATGTATCTATAATTGGGTTTGGCACTGATACATTGCTTTTGTGCTTAATGACCTCTAAAATTCCACATTAATTTGATAGGAAATGCTCTATTTCCTATATAAATTTTTTTATTTATTTGAAAACCGATGTTTTCTGGGGAATAGAAAGAATGCATTTCAAAGGCCCAGGGAACTCAGTAGCAGAATCATCTAATTGTCTGCTACCTAGTAAATTGACTAATAACAGAGAGCAATTACTGTATTAGATCTTGAGTAATTAAATGGGTTTGCAGCAAGTTTAAAAGTTGTACTGATTGCTTTTCTAAAACCACAGCAACTTACAAAAGATTGAGTATATTTGCACCATGATTCCAAGGGCTTAGAGTCCGTGATGGCAAACAAGAGACTTGGCAAGTAGAGCTGGAAGTTGACAGCTCACATACTGAACCTCAAGTAGGAAGCAGAGAGAAACTTAAAAAAAAAAAAACTGAAAATGGCAATGTCATAGGCACAAATCTAGTCACTTGAGCAAATTTTCATGGAAAGAAAAAAACCAAAATTTTAGGTAGTAAATATCTAGGAAAAGAAAGAAGAATGAATATAGTAAATGTGATGATCATTGCCTTGTTTCAGTGAAACAAAGTCTGAAGGAAATATGGAAAATGCTAGCCCTTTCCAAATGCAATAGTATGTCCTCAAATGTTCAGTATTTTCTGATTTTATTATTGTTGCTGCCTCTGATAAGATACTGTTTTGAGCAAGTATTGGTGTGCAACAAAACAATATGAAACTCGCTGTGTTGAAGCAAGAATTTACAATGTTTCCCCACAGAATTTATCTTATGGTCATGGCAATTCTCCAAGGAGGTCCACAACACTACTATAGGAAAACACTGGCCCACTTATCTGTGCCTGTTCAGGGTGTTAGACACTGCTTTAGATTTAGACGGTGGACACCTAGCTGGGCTACCTAGAGCAGTTGGGAATGTGTGGTTACTAGTTGCGTCTCCTCCACCATCTCTCTGTCCATTCCTTAAAAGGTGATGACCTAAAGGTAGTGAAACTCTGAAGATACTGTGTCCTAAGTCCTAAGAAACAGTCCTAAGGAATAAACAAACCTTTAAAATACAGTGCATATTTTTATTGGTCAAAGCAGGGTATAATAGATTTGTGAAAAGATGATTCACAAAGACACAATTATTGAAAGGTATTAGGAGGCCATCTTTAGAGAGTAACTATGACTCTACACATGTTTTTGATGCCCACATCATTCCATAGGAAAATAAAAAACAAAACTTAAATACCATTTAATGAGTACTGTAATGGTTAATTATGGGTTGGTTGGGGGAAATCACAGTAAACTTATATTTGGTTAAGTACTCTAAATGTTTCTACATAAGTTTTACTATGAGTAAAATTAAAATTTCTCTACAGCCATCCCACCTTGAAAGAGTCCACTCTGATCTGATAAGATTAAAACTAAAGTCATTAGACACTAAATAAGGCAGATTGCCTTCTATGCTGAAGTTGTGCCTCACTCAATGGGTTGGAGACCTTGGTAGACAGTGACTAGCAGCAGGGGACCGCACTGTGATCTTCAGTTGCATTATTACCTTTTTGTTGGTGGTGATGGTGATACCCAAGCAGCCAGTAGACAGTATCTCAGGCTTAGTCCAGCTCTTGAGTGAGTTATGGTGTTGCTGAGGCAGGATATCCCTATGTAGCCTTTGCTGACCGGGAACTCAATGTATAAACCAGGCTAAACTTAGATTCTTAGAGACCCAAAGGCTTCTGTCTCCTGAGTGTTGAAATTAAAGATGTATAGCACCATATCTGACATGAGTCGGTTCTTTAAAGTGTGGAGGCATGGGGCTGGATAGGTGGTTCCTTTGTTAGGAGCTCTTATTGGTTTTGCAGAGAAGCTGGGATCTGTTGCCAGCACCCACACTGGGTGGTTCACAGCTCCTTGCAACTTCAAAACTAGGGTTCCAACACTCTCTTCTGGCCCATCTGGGCTCTGCATACTATGGCATACATATTCATATAAAATAAGTGAAGTTGATAGTTACCATATTTTAATTTAGTCCCCTTAACATTTTTGTCTAATACCGTACCTGTATTATAAAATCTTGTCAAATAAAAACTCCTAGCAAATAGAATCAAATAATTTTAACATAAATAGCTAATTCAAATTTTAAAATATGTATTTTAAGTATAAAAAATGGTCTAACCCTTTGCAAAAAAATGGGGGGGGGAGAAAGAAAAGAAAATACTACCTTAGGGACTGGAGATATGGCTCAGTGATTGAGTGCTTGCTATTCTTGCAGAAGACCTGAGTTTGGTCCACAGTACTTACACACCTGTATCTCCAAATAAATGATATTGGTGGGCACCCAAATTCACACAT